CATCCCTCTTCGCCTCCTCTGAGGTTTGTCAGTCTGAACTGTATTCCTCTCTATGTCTCTAAGGTCTATTTTTGAACTCTTGATACTTGCAACAACATGGATATATATCAAAACAAATAGGTATACTGAGTGAAAGAAGCCAGATGAAAAAAGTGAATCAACTGTATGCTTCCATTTACATAAAATTCTAGAAAATGCAAACTAAATTATATAGAAACAGAAAACAGCACATCAACAGTTACTTAAGAATGAGGGAGGAAGTAAGAGGTGGGAAGGAAGGATTACCAAGGGTCACAGGGAAACTTTCTATAGTGATAGAGATGTTCAATACTTCGATTGTGGTAATGTCATCAAAACGTATCAAATTATACACTTTAAATGTGTACAGTTTACTGTATGTCAAGTAATGAAGCTTGCTGTAGCTTGACTCTAGAGAACAGAATAATTCCTTTTAAAGGGAAAATGCTTCTTTTTAGTCAAACACCTAAGTGGGCCTTTTGGTTGGGAAAGATGAGATCTCAGGCTGGCCTAGGAGTAGATTGATACCATATCAGAGTCACTTGCTCTGTAAAATAAAGCAAGAAGAATTTTTCGTTTTGTGAGAGTTGTCCAGAATCAGAGAAGAGAACACCAGAAAGAAGTCTCCAGAGAAAATGGGAAGCATTCATTCAACATGGTAGCCAGCAGAGCCTGTGGAGAGACATGGCCGGTGAGAAATTCTCTGGGGTGGGGATGGTCGTAGAACTTTGTTGTCTAATACTCATGTTTAAATTGTTTCCTGTTCTGTGAAGTAGTCCCCCTCCACAGCCCCACCCTTTAGTTCAGTCTGTCCAGACACTGGCCTGGAGTTAATGGTGTGTTGGGGAATCCAAGAGGAAGGGACAGTTCCACATGTCAGCCAAACAGAGAGCGGCAGCAGCTGCAGGAATTTTGAGAGCAGTTGAGATGAGTAAGAAGCAAGCTGGAGCAAGAATAGAGGGGTAACTGGAGGATATCTATAAGCATTCCCTTCAGGAATTGTTGGGATATTAGGCCTTTCTGCAGAATGTGGGATGGAGAAATGAGCCATTTTATTTGAGAATTAAAGGAAAGGTTACTCCAGAGACTGGCCGACTTTCGAACATCCAGTTAATCCTGGAACATACTTTGGGAAGGACCACTCTAGACCATGCTAGACCAGAGAGGTGACTCAATGGAAGCTGAGCCACATATAGACTACGATGTGAATGGCAGCCCATGGGATTGTCCCTGTAGCGTTAGTGCATTCCTGCTCATTAGGCCAATCCCCCCAACTATTGTCAATGACCTACCTTTCTCCTTATCTCTCTTTCCTTCTCATATATATATATTTTTTTATCCTCACCCGAAGACTTTTTTTTTTTTTTTTCATTTTTTGTTCAGATAGAGTGGGAGAGAGAGAAAGAGAGGGAAACATCAATGTGAAAGGGACACATGGAGTGGTTGTCACCGGCACAACCCAGCCAGGGCTGGAGACAAACTGCAACCGAGGTACATGCCCTTAGCGAGAACCGAACCCGGGTCTCTCTGGACCACAGGCCAACACTCTAACCGCTGAGCCAAACCGGCCAGGGCTTTCCCTCTCATATTTTATTTTTTTTATTTTTATTTTTTATTTATTTTTTTATTGATTAATTTTTGTTACAGATGTTTCTCCTTTTTCCCCCACTGATTCCCTCTCATATTTTAAAAAAACGAAGTTTAAAAGTATCTTCACTTTCTCCCTGGCTTCAATCTTCCCTGGCTGGACCAGAAATGAATCAAACTATTCTACCTTAATTGCCCCTCCTAGTTCACCTCAAATATGAGCTACCAGATCCCTCTATTATTATCCAACTTCTCCCAAGTCCCCTCCTTCCTCTAATAAAATACGGTTTACCAGAAGTTTCAACTGTGAAAAGGCAAGGGAGGAACTATCAAGACAGTGGAGGGAAGTGGGTGTGAGAAATCCATTTCCCCCATTTGCCACTCATTAACCATCCACGTGTCTGAGCAGCAGGCGTGCAAGGACCTTAATGCTCATGTTCAAGTTGCTCATGTCCATGATAAGAACGGCCCCATCACAACAGCAACAACCACAACACAACCACCTTATACATGCACAAGTGGCTTATAGCTCATCCCCATGTCTAGACATGCAGCTTGTGTAGTTCACGTAACTTTGTCAGTTTGTCACATTATTCCCCTTTCTTACATGAGGAAACTGAAGTTCAGGAAGCATGTCCAATTGTTCTGAGTAGAAACCCCACTGTCTCTCTAAGATGCTATCCCTAAGTAAATGTCAGGTGTACTAGGACATTTCAATCAGGGCTTATTAACCTGGGCCCCAAGGGGGGATCTCCCCAAAGGGGGAATCTTTAAACTTTGAGAAAACATTACAACTTTATTTTCAATCACCTCTAATTGAAATTTAGCATTTCCTTGCATTATGAATGTGGTCAACAATAGTGTCAGCAGCACCTGCGATTCTGTCTCCAGTAGAAATCACAGACATTTTTAGATCTGTACTGTTGTTGCAAATGTCTCAAAAAACATGGTTTATACTCATCAGGACTTCAAAATTATGGTTTTATTAGGTTCCTGCTAAACCTTGTTATAGGATGCATTAATAAATAAGCACATATATTACTATATCACCACCTTAATATTCTAATAATTGTAATTTACTACCATTGGCTTTCCTTTTAATGCTATGCATTTAAAAAAATTATTCTGTAAAAAGGTCCATAGGTTGCACATGATTGCCAAAGGGGTTTATGGTGCATGTGCACACATGCGCGTAGACACGCACACACACACACGCACAGACACACAGGTCGAGAGCGCCTGATCTAAAGGATGCAGGACATGGTTAGGAATTACGTCTTCATCTTGTTCCTGTTTACCATATTGTATTGCAGATATTTGCATGTCTTTCCTCCCTTGCCAGCCTATGAATTCCTATAAAGTAGGAATTGTGTCTTATATTTCTTTCAGTCCTCAGTGCCTAGAACAGAACTTAGTGTTCATTGAACCATCATTTATAGAGTATCTACCATGGCCCTGGCCAGCGTGGCTCATTGGTTAGAGTGTCAGCCCATGCACCAGAGGGTGGCAGGTTCGATTCCAGCTAAGGGCATGTTCCTGGGTTGCAAGTTCTATCCCCACTCTGTTCAGGACACATGCAGGAGGCAACCAATTGATGTGTGTCTCTCACATAGATGTCTCTCTCTCTCTCTCTCTCTCTCTCTCTCTCTCTCTCTCTCCCCCTCACTCCCACTCACTTCCACTGAATCTATCTTTAAAAAATTCAGTGGAGCCCTGGCCGGTTTGGCTTAGCGGTTGGAGCGTCGGCCTGCGGTACAGAGAGACCCGGGTTCGGTTCCCGCTAAGGGCACGTACCTCGGTTGCAGTTTGTCCCCGACCCTGGTTGGTCATGCGGGTGGCAGCCACTCGATGTGTCCCTTCACATCGATGTTTCTCTCTCTCTCTCTCTTCCTCTCTCTCCCTCCCGCTCTATCTGAACAACAACAACAACAAAATGGAAAAATGTCCTCGGGTGAGGATAAAAAAAAAAAATTCAGTGGAAAAGTATCCTCAGGTGAGGATTTAAAAAGAGAGAGAGAGAGAGAGAGAATCTCTGTGTATAAAGCTCAAGTCCTGTTGGATAAAGTAAAAGAATGGAGAAATTCAAAGGAGAGCAATGACTCATTCATTCATTCAATCATTCATTTAGAGAACTGTCCAATAGCTACTCAATGGCAGCCACTGTGGTAGGCTATGGGGACAACATAAAAAATGAAACCCAAGTCTTTATTCTCATGGAGCACCCATTCAGCTAATGGAAAAAAGAGAAAGCAAGACTTTTGAGGACAAATGGGGATGAGATCCCTTGTTCTGCAGAGTCAGAGTCATGGGGAAAATGTACTTCTTAAATCTGTGCTCATCTGCTCTTTCTAGCCAAAAGTTTCCAGGGAGAGAGTAACCACAGGACTAGAAAGTGTAGATAAAGATGCTCTTCCCAAGAAGAAAAATCGGTGGGGTTCTCATGAGAAGCCTTTACCTTGCGTGGTTGCTGGTCTTGCCTAGCAAACTTTGAGAAGTCAGCCCTCCATCACCCAGGTGTTTCGGTGGCTGGCCTGTCCGAAGACAGTAAGCCGATTTCTGCCCCTCTGCAGTTCCGTCATGGTTCAAGGATTTTGTGATGACATCAATTAGTCAGAATGTGCAAGGTTGCCTGGATACCTTGGGGCTTCTCATTCTCTTAAGAGGTCAAGCCTGTGCGACCTCTTCATCTTGCCAAACAGGTGCTGAGAGGCCAGGTTGTGAGAGAATGTGCTGGTACAGCCACCTACATCTCTAGGCCAGATCATCTGTCTACGTGGATGGCAAAGGGAGAGACCCCCAGCAGAACTAAGGGGAGAAGGGACTGGGAGCTGGACCTGTCTCACCAAGGAATGGGAGAACTGGAGAAAGATAAGAAAACAAAGACAAGGTTTGGGGTTCACTAAGACAAAATCTGATCAGGTAAAATGTTTCCCCAAAGAGACATAACCTTAAAATATAAAAAGACAAATTTAATAAATCCATACAACCTCTCTCCAGGGAGATATAATCTTAAAATACAACAAAGTTCATTTTGACGAAGTTAGCACCTACCCACAGCAGTATCTCCATATATATTGACTGAATATATGAAAAAAATATTTTCCAGAGAATTTCAGCTCCCTCATCTGTCCCCAGCCTCAGCGGGCCTCTCTCTCACTCTTTTAGACTGCAGGATCATGTGACAAACTCGCTGGAAGCATTCATTCAAATGAAATTTGGATAATCTGTTAAAGATCTATAGATCTTTCATGTATTTCCCCCCGTTGGTAAGGAGTTTAGACTGGAGAGATGCTCTCAGCAACTGGGGACTCTCTGTGCCCCTTATGCCACCAGCAGAGCATGAAGTTACCAAGTAAGCCTCCCAGATGACACATTAACACCTCATGCAAAGATTCTTGGGAAATAAAATATTTTTTATTCATTTACTGGATTTCATATACCCAACAGTTCTTAAAACAAGTATTACCAAAAGCAACACAAACCACATGTAAAATGAAAAACAAGTGCCCCAAATGACACCCCTGCCAATGACACATGGGTATTGAGATGCTGACACTACTCCCCACGAGCACGAAAAGCCTCCTGCAGGCTTCCTGGCAATCCCTCCTCCTCCATCCTGGGGCTGAATACTCCAAAGTTTTGGAGTCAACATGACAAGTTAAGGACAAGTTAGATTAGATCTCCGGTTTATGACATGCGTCCCTCACCCTCTCGAGTGTGCACCCACAAGCAGAGGGCCAATCTGCTACAGCGACAGTCGAAGCACACCAGCGGGAGCTGAGCCAGCCGGGCCACACGGGCACATGGTGCATATGTTGCAAGCCCAGCAGCCACAAGACCCAAAGCCATAGAGAACTGACAGGTCAGGCCTCAACTGAAAACTGTGCTAAAAAGGGATCTCTCAAGCCACACGCTTTGATTTTACCAGTTGGCCCATCTTGGGTCCAAATATGGCAAATAGGGAGAGCATGTACTGCCCTTGAAAACTAGTAACAAAATGCTAAGAATACTCGAGAACCTGGGGTTCTCTTTCAGCCATCCAGAAGGCGAAGTCAGCCAGAAGCTTGCCTGTTGGCCCCTGATCAACTCATCTGCCGAGGAAAGGTTGGTCAGTATCCAAGGCACGCTGGGCCCAGCCACGGGGCTTCCTAGTTCTCCTGTGCCTGCTGCAACCTCTTGGCCACAGCAGTGATCAGAGCTGCTCCCTTTCCACTGCCATCTTCTGACAGCATGAATGTCACATCACATTGAGGGGCTAGTTCTTTCACAGTTTCCTGTAATATCGAAGAAAAGCTGTGGAAAAGAGGAAAAACAGTCGTCAGCACTTACATATAGAGTCGGCATATTTATAAATTATTTCAATCTAGTTTGTCGCTTCCAGCTTGCTTCCCACGGCTTTAGAACAACTGATACGGTTTCTTTTGAAAAGCTGTTTTAATATTGCCTTTTATTGAGCAATTATTGTCAGAGAATATTCTAGGTGTTTCACATACAGAACATCAAAGTGTAACAAAAAGTAGTTTGAAAATCATTACTACTATCTTCACTACATAAATAAATTGATGCTCAAAAGTTAAGAAACTTGCCCTGGCCAGTTTGGCTCAGTGGTTAGAGCGTCGGCCTGCAGTCCAGAGAGACCGGGGTTCAGTTCCCGCTAAGGGCATGTACCTCGGTTGCAGTTTGTCCCTGGCCCTGGTTGGTCGTGAAGGTGGCAGTCACTCAATGTGTCCCTTTCACATCGATGTTTCTCTCTCTCTCTCTTCCTCCCACTCTATCTGAACAAAAAATGAAAAAATGTCCTCGGGTGAGGATTAAAAAAAAAAAAGAGAGAGAGACTTTCCTGGTTGATATGCAAATAAATTAAAAACACATTTTTTTTTTAAAAGAAAGAGACTTGTCCAAATTTGTACAACTAGTCAGTTTATTAGGATTTGGACTAGGCCAGTCTTTTTCCAAATCCCACCTTTTTTGTTTACTTTTTCCAAATCCCACCTTTTTTGTTTACATTTTGTTTTTTGTGAAAATTTTTATTTTCAAAATTTGCAAACTTACAAAAAAGTTGAAAGAATAATTCAGTGAGCACCTCTACGCTATCTGTCCAGACTAAACAAAGTTAAAATTTTTGCCCTGTTTGTTTTAGCCATCCATCCATCATCCATTTCTCCCTCCATTAATTTTCCCCCAAAGCACAGTCTTAATCACAATACTTGGCCTCTCTCAGCTATTATTAGAGATATTAAATCCATTTAAATTGACATCCTGGCAGTCAGTTCTCAGGCCAGTCTGTGGGATCAAAATGTGTGTACCAAAAGCCTGGGACCCTGGGTTACTGTAACTGCAGATGACGGTCACCTCCAAGGGCCAGCATGCCAGAGCAGGTCTGTGCTCAAATCTAGCACACAGCAGTGGGTGACTCTGCCAACCACTGAATCTCCTTGGGGCTCTGCTGGTTACATGGGGAGAGAAGAACATGTAGACTAATATTGGAGGCACAATAAGGGTAATTAGACCCAAACTTCCCAGGAGATAGGAAAAAACGGCTTGGCAGTCACTGCTCAATCAAGTCTTTCTTTTCTTTCTTTCTTTCTCTCCCTCCCTCCCTCCCTCCCTCCCTCCCTCCCTCCCTCCCTCCCTCCCTCCCTCCCTCCCTTCCTTCCTTCCTTCCTTCCTTCCTTCCTTCCTTCCTTCCTTCCTTCCTTCCTCTCTTCCTTTCAGCGGTTTTTAGTATATTCACAGAGTCGCGCAACCATCACCACTGTCTAATCCAAGTACATTTTTGTCATCCTAAAAAAGAAACCCATACCCAATAATAGTCACTCTCTATTCACATCAACCCTCAGAAACCACCAGCCATCACTAATCGTTCTATCTCTATAGATTTGCCTATTCTGGACATTTCATACAATGGAATCCTATAATATGTGGCCTTTTGAGTCTGACCTCTCTCATTTAACATGATGTTTTCAAGATTTGTCAAAGCTGTAGCATGTGTCAGTACTTCATTCCTTTTTATGAGTAGTATTCCATTGTATGGCTATACCCACCCATTAGCTGATGGACATTAGGGTTGTCTCACCTTTGGGCCAGTATGAATAATGCTGGTATGAACATCACTAACAAGTTTTTGTGTGAACATGTTTTCAATTCTCTTGAGTACACCTGGAATGTAATTGCTGGGTTATATGGTAACCCTATGTTTATCTTTTTAGGAACTGCCAAACTGTTTCCCACCAGCAATGCATCAGGGCTCTAATTTTGTCACATCCTGATCAACCCTTGTTAGTGTCACTGTTTCTTATTATAGCCATCCTAAGTGGGTGTGAAATGGTATTTCATGTCTGTTTTTTTAAATTGATTTTAGAGAGACAGGAAGTGGAAGAGGGAGACTGGAAGAGAGGGAGGGAGGGAGGGAGGGAGAGAGAGAGAGAGAGAGAGAGAGAGAGAGAGAGAGAGATCTGATGCCTCCTATATGTGCCCCAACCAGGGATAGAAACTGCCACCCAGGCATGTGCCCTGACTGGGATCTAACCAGCGATCCTTCAGTGCAGGGGACACTGCTCAGTCAACCAAGCCACATGGGCCAGGGCGTTATTTTATGGTTTTGATTTGCATTTTCCTAGTGACTAAATAATATTGAGCATCTTTTTGAGTGCTTGTTGGCCATTTTTAGATCTTCTTTGGAAAGATATGTACTTAAATTCTTTGCTCATTTGTTAAATTGATTACTTGTGTTTATTGTTGAGTTGTTTTAAGTGTTCTTTGTATATTCTAGATATAAGTCCCTCAGCAGATATATGATTTTCAAATATTTTCTTCTATTCTTTCTTTTCACTTTCGATGGTATGCAAAATTTTAAAATTTTGATGAAGTCCAATTTATCAGTTTTTTTCCTTCTGTTGCTTATGTTTTCTATGTCATATTTTAAAACACTGCCTAATCCAAGGTCACGAAGATTTACATCTATGTTTTCTTTTAAGAGTTTTATAGTTTGGGCTCTTAATTCAGGTCTTTGATCCATTTTGACTTAATGTTTGTATATAGTGTGAGGTCGAAGTCCAATTTTATTTTTTGCATGTGGATATACAGTTATTGCACCATTTGTTGAAAAGAATATTCTTTCCCCATTGAATGGCCTTGGTATCCTTGTAGAAAATCAGTTGACCATAAATGTTTAGGTTTATTCCTGGACTCTCAATTCTATTCCAGTGATCTGTATGTTTATCTTTATGTCAGTACTACATTGTTTTGATCACTGTAGCTTTAGAGTAAGTTTTCAAATAGAAAAGTATGATGAGTTCTTTTTTTTTTAGCTTTTGGTTTTTTTTAGTGAGTTCTTCAACTTTGTTCTTCTTTGAAGATTGTTTTGACTATTCTGAATTCTTTGTGTTTGCATATGAACTATAGAATCAATTTGTTAATTTCTGTAAAGAAGTCTGCTAGGATCTTAATAGTGATTATGTTTAATCTGAAGAGCAATTTGGGAAGTATTGCTACATTTTATTAATATGTTTTTATTGATTTTAAAGAGCGAGAGGAACAAAATATTAAAACACTAAATGAACATAATAATTATAGCTTTTAGCCTGGCCAGTGTGGCTCAATGGTTGAGCATTGACCCATGCACTGGGAGGTTGCTGGTTCGATTCCCAGTCAGGACACATTCCCAGGTTGTGAGCCAAATCCCCAGTGGGGGGTATGCAGGAGGTGGCCAATCAATGTCTTCTCTCTCTCCCTTTCCTTTCCTCTCTATCTAAAATCAATAAAGAAAAAAAATTTTTTTTAATTATAGCTTTCATCACTGAAGTTTTTATGATGTGCCAAGTACGCTACATACACTATTTAACTTAACCCTCACAACAATCTACAAGGCACGTATGCTTTTTGTCCTCATTTTACAGGGGGTAAGAAACTGGATTCAAACTCATATTGCCTGACGGGGCTCTTAATCCTCTGTCTGCTTATTCTGAGCTAAGAAAATTATAACCAGCTCATACTAGACAATGCTCTGTGTTATACAAAATATTCAGTTTTCATTACTCCCTGTGGGGCCAGGAGGGAATGGGTTAATGATCATCACTGGAATTTACTGAGCACTGTGTGAAGCACTTTACATGTATTAACCCGTGTAATCTTCATGTAGCTCTATGACATGGAGATCATTACTGCCTGCTTTTCACAGCTGGGGCTCAGAGGGGGTGGCAAATATTCCCACAGCATGCCACTAGGAAACAGAGCCTCCAGGGTCAGGTTCAACTGGGTCTGCTCTCAACCTCAGCACCCTCCCACCTCGCCCTTTCAGGCACTCACTGAGGGTGCAGCTTGTACAGGGTGCCGTCCACGCCCACAGTGATCGTCAGGTGCTCCAGCCCCTGGTCTTTCCTCCTTTTCTCCACGATGGCAGCCATGCCAGCGCCACAGAGCTGGGCCGCCCGACGGGACACAGCTCCGCACACCTCCTTCACCACGACGCTGTCCTCACAGGTGCTGTCTAAGCCGAGCTGCTGCAGGATTCTCCTAACCTGGAGGAGGGCCAGCCGATCGCTGCAGGCAGGAAGAGTAGGAGGTCAGACCTGCTCTTTGGGGCCCCGGAATCTGCCCCACACAGCTCACAGCCCCCCATCCCTAGATGTCCCAGCAGGAGGGAGGAGAAAATGATCCAGACGATGGCTAAGTTGGAGCAAAATGCCTTAGAAGCTGAAACTTAAGTTCTGCCACCCATGGAAAGTCCCATTATTCTTAAAATATAAAGTATGAGAACTCCTTATGATAGGTATGCTTAAATCTGCTATCTCACTAGGAACTATTATTATTTTCAGCAACCAAAACATTAGGTATTCATTCTTCAGAAGAGGAATCAGAGGTTCAGACTGCTAGAGACTTACCCACAGAGACTAGAGAGCAGGGATTCAAACACACGCCTTCTCACACCAGCCCAGCCTCTCCCACTAAACACACCAGCTTCTGGTACTCTGGTCCCATTCAGTTGGCCAACTTTCCTTCTTTATGTCTATTCTGATTCTGCGCTTTCTCTTTTCAACTAGACTACATGCTCTTTGAGGGTAAGACTGCATTCTCAATAGTGGCCAGCATAAGGCTGTGTACACACAATGGGCAAATGAATAAATGAATATGCAACGTACAATCAGCATCCAAGTAAACAGAAACTGGCAGGACCGTAAGCACATGTGCAGAAGCGCCCATCGTGGGGACCCGTAAGCCTCGAGTCTGGACCCTGCCTATCTCACACTGAACTTACAGAGCTCTGACTCTCAAGCTAAACAACACAAAGTTACAGCCTTGGTTGTCTCGGGTAATACTTAGGGAAGAAGAGTGTTATCAAGAGAGAACAACTTAAAAGCAACCTCTATCACCATATAGCAAATTCAACAGGTAAATGGGGGTGTAGCCAGACAATAGAATCCTTTGTAGACTTTAAATATGAGTTTCCATGACACTATTTAATGCTATGAAAAATGTTCATAACCTGGCTGTTTTTGCTAAGTGGTTAGAATGTTGGACCATGGACTGAAGGGTCTCAGGTTTGATTCCTGGTCAGAGACACATACCTGGGTTGCAGATTCAATCCCTGGCCCCAGTCAGGGTCATGTGAGAAGCAACCAATCAATGTGTGTCTCTCATATTAATCTCTCTCTCTCCCTCCCTCCCTCCCTCCCTTCCTCCCTTCCACTCTATCTAAAACTCAATGAAAAAATATCCCCCTATAAGGATTAACAACAACAACAACAAAGCCCTGGCCAGTGTAGATCAGCGGTTGGAGTGTTAGCCCATGGACCAAAGAGTCACAGGTTCAATTCCGGTCAAGGTCACATACCTTGGTTGTAGTTTGGTCCCAGCCCTGGTCGGGGTCATGCGGGAGGCAGCTGGTTCATGTCTCTGTCACGTCGATGTTTCTCTCTCTCTCCCTCTCTCTCTTCCTCTCTCTCTCTCCCTCCCATTCTATCTGAAGATAAATAGAAAAATAGCCTCAGGTGAGGATTTAAAATGTTCATGATGTATTAAGTGAAAAAATAAATTATAAAGATTCCATAATGGCGGCTGAGTAAACGGAAGCTACACAGACCGTCTCCCAGAACCAAACTGGAATTACAACTATAACACAGACAAATCAACGGGAAAAAGCAACAGAAAAGCAGCTTGCGAGGACCATATAACCAGGGGACACTGACTCGACCCTGGTAGGATTGCGAAGGCATAAGAGAGGGCTGGGAGCCCACAGACAGCAGCGGCCTTAGCTGTGAGCAGCGCCCTCGGGTTACACTCCCAAGGGGCTCCATTGAACAGAGCCGGGATAGATGCTAAAATAGCCACAGCCACTCACCTTGGGCTCCGGCAAAGGGAGGACAGATGGGACTGGAACTATGTGGGAACACACAGGATTTGGAGGGCGCTCAGAGCTTTTGCTGAGTTGCTGCCACGCAGGACGGTGGCCATATTGCTCCTTCCCACAGCTCTGGGGAGAGCCCCTCCCTTGGAGATTCAACCCCACCCTGTGGGCCATTGAAATGCTAATTGAGGCTCACTAACAACCAGCATCAGCCCCACCCTCGGGAAATCCCCTTACATTGAGCACCTGAGGGAGTTTTTCAATCAACTGACATCCCAAGTAACCTCGACTGCTAGCCTCCAGGCAAAAAGCTAGAGGATAACAGTACCTTTCCTGGGCTAGCAACTTTAACCAGGAAAGTAAGACTTGACAGTGGTGTTTAACGTGGGTCCCCCCTTGCTCATCTAAACCCAGGAGAGGGAGCCACTAACAGCAGAACGCCAACACCCACAGGGAAAACTTGACAGGCTCCAAAGCCCACTGTGACAGCCAAAATGGTGAAACAAAAACAAAAGACAAATGAAAGAACATGAGACCTCCACCGAAGATGAGATCAATGTGGAGCAGTTCAGCAAGATAACAGAGATAGAATTCAGAGCCATGATCTTGAGGAAGCTCAACAGCATGAGTAAGGACATAGAGATGCTGAAAATAAACCAATTGGAAATTAAAAACCACCAAGAAGAGTTCAAAAATGACATATCAGAAATAAAGAACACATTGGAAGGTCTAAAAAAGCAGTGTAGAGGAAGCTGAGGACCGGATCAGTGAATTAGAAGACAGGGTAGAAAAAATCAACCAATTAGAAAACAAAAAGTAAAAAACTATTATAAAACAGGAAGACAGCTTAAGAGCACTGTGGGACAACTGGAAACGTAATAACATTCGCATCATAGGAGTCCCGGAAGAAGAAGAGAATGAGCAAGGGTTAGAGAATATATTCAAAGAAATAATGACAGACAACTTCCCTAATTTGGTGAAGAAAGAAGGCATTAAAGTTCAAGAAGCACAGAGAGCCCCAAGTAAGAATAACCCAAACAGGCCCACACCAAGACACATAGTAATTAAAATACCAAAAATTAAAGACAGAGAGAATCCTAAAAGCAGCGAGAGATAAGCAACAGGTTACCTACAAAAGAAACCCCATAAGCCTCTCAGCTGACTTTTCACAAGAAACATGACAGGTCAGAGGGAATGGTATGAAGTAATCAAGGTCATGAAAAACAAGGATCTGAATCCAAGACTACTCTACCCAGCAAGGCTATCATTCAAAATAGAAGGTCAAATAAAGAGCTTCCCACACAAAAAAAGGCCAAGGGAATACATTAGCACCAAACCAGCACTAAAAGATATGTTAAAAGGATTGCTGTAATTAGTAGAAGAAATAGGAAGAAAAATATAACCAAACTAAACAAAGATGGCAATAAATAAGTACATATCAATAATCGCCTTAAATGTAAATGGATTGAATGCTCCGATCAAAAGACACAGAGTAGCTGATTGGATAAGAAAGCATGACTCATCTATATGTTGTTTCCAAGAGACCCACCTCACAACAAAAGACTCACATAGGTTGAAACTGAAGGGATGGAAAAAAATCTTCCAAGCAAAAGACTCACATAGGTTGAAACTGAAGGGATGGAAAGCAAATAAAAATCTGGGATAGAAATACTCATATCTGATAAAATAGATTTCAAATGAAGGCCATAACTAGAGAAAAAAGGCCACTACATAATATTGAAAGGATCTATCCATCAGGAAGATATAACCTTGATAAACATATATGCACCCAATATAAGAGCACCAAAATATATTAAAAATCTTCTGGAGGACTTCCAAGGAGATATCGACAGCAATACAATCATAGCAGGAGACTTCAACACCCTGTTGACACCACTAGATAGATCCTCTAGACAAAAAATTAGGAAGGAAACAGAGACTCTTAAATGAAGCACTAGACCAAATGGATTTAATAGATATCTACAGAGAATTACACCCCAAAACTACAGAATTCACATTCTTCTCAAGTGCACATGGGACATTCTCAAAGACAGACTACATGATAGGACACAAACTAAATATCTACGAGTTCAAGAAGATTGAAATCATATCAAGCATCTTCTCAGATCACAATGGCATGAAACTAAAAATCAATTGCAACATGAACATGCAAAGACATTTGAACACATGGAGGCTAAATAGCATGTTATTAAACAATGAATGGGTCACTGAGGAGATCAAGGAAGAAATTAAAAACTTCCTGGAAACCAATGAAAATGAAGACACAACAACACAAAATCTATGGGATGCAGCAAAAGCAGTTCTGAGAGGGAAGTTCATAGCACTACAGGTTTACCTCAAGAAACAAGAAAAATTTCTAATTCATTGTCTAACCTCACAACTTAAAGAATTAGAAAGCAAACAAAAAGAAATCCCCAGAGCAAGTAGAAGGAAGGAAATAGTAAAGATCAGAGCAGAAATAAATGACATAGAGACTAAAAAAAACAAGTCAAAGGATCAATGAAACAAAGAGCTGGTTTTTCTTTTCTTTTTTTTTTTTTATCCTCACCCGAGAATATTTTTCCATTTTTTGTACAGATAGAGTGGGAGGGAGAGAGAGGAAGGGAGAGAGAGAGAGAAACATCGACGTGAAGGGACACATCGAGTGGCTGCCACCCGCACGACCATCCAGGGCCGGGGACAAACTGCAACCGAAGTACGTGCCCTTAGCGGGAACCAAACCCGGGTCTCTCTGTACCGCAGGCCGACGCTTTAACCACTGAGCCAAACTGGCCAGGGCAAAGAGCTGGTTTTTCAAAAAGATAAACAAGATTGATGGACCCTTAGCTAGACTCACCAAGAAACAAAGAGAGAGAACTCAAATACACAAAATCAGAAATGAAAGAGGAGAAGCAACAACCGACACCACAGAAATACAAAAGATTGTTTACAGCTACTATGAATAACTATATGGCAACAAATTCGACAATCTAAGCAAAATGGACAAATTTCTAGAAACACAGTTTCCCAAAACTAGACCAGGAACAGATAGAAAACTTGAACAGACCAATAACAACTAAGGAAATTGAAGAGGTAATCAAGACTCTCCCAGCAAACAAAAGCCCAGGCCCGGATGACTTCACAGGGGAGTTTTACCGAACATTCAAAAAAGAACTAACACCCATTCTCCACAAAC